CAATGGCGGCGCGCGCAGCGGCAGCCGCCGCACGTCGATGTCGCTGGACCCAGATTTGGCTCTGGACGAATACCTGGGGTCAGGCAACATCCAGGTGGGGCCGCCCCCGCTCGCGCGGCTTCGCGCATTTTTTGAATGAGACACGCCGCGCTGGCCATGCACGTGCCTCACGTGCACAGCCGCGGGACCTCCTGCGATGAGCCGGGCGACGGGCTCCCGCACAGCGCTCTGATCTCACTTGCGCACAACCTACGACCGCGTTCACATCCATTGCCACGTGCCCCGCCCCCACCGTGATGACCCCGCAGTCCTATTTCAAAGGCACCGCCTTTGCCACGATCCGCGCCCTGGGGGCCTGGGAGCCCGGGATGGAGCGCACCATCGGCGGATTCAAGTGCGCGGCGCATGCAGTCACCCTTGATCCGCTTCAGCGCCGCTTTTGGAAGCCAGTACTTGTGCTGGCCGGCCCGCAGCAACCGCCCAGCCAAACGCATCCCCTGGGGCTCGCCGAGCCGCGCCCCGCGGCCCTCGACATTCCGGGGTCCCGGCCCGGGGGCCCAGTCGCACCAACGCCCTCATCCACGCGCGCGCCGCGCCCCTCATCCTCGCGTCGCTTTCATCACCCCGCAGCGCTGTGTGGCGCGACTTTAAGGAGCGATGGGGCACTGTTGACATAACCGAGGCGAAGCGCGCCCTGGAGACGCCAGAGAAGCTGCTCAGCGCCGCGGCCGTCGACCCCACCATCGCCGCGCAGGTGCGGGGGCACCCAGCATGGCGGCTTCCTACGATTCAGCCTTCCCGCAAATCAGCCTCCTGGGCTGCGCGCCGCCCCAGTGCAGAATTGCATCGCCTTTCGCAGCTTGAGCTTGGCATGACCATCTGGACCACCAGCCTCCGAAGCTCTCTTGTGCGGCACTTTGGGAGGTTTGCTGCACCATCTCAACTCACCCTCCGCTTCCTGACCCCTCTGCCACCACCGCGGGCGGCCCACACAACCGTAACTTGCTCGCAGCTGGTCTGGACGGTCGCCTCGCTGGCGGACGGCTGCCCGCAGCTCTCCGCCGCGCTCGCGCGCGCCGGCGTCGACGCAGCGGCGGCCCCCGAGCTCGCGCGGCTCAAGGACGGCTCGGCCGGCCCAGACGAGGAGCAGTGGTGCGCAGACCTGCTCGCCACGGCACGCGGGCGCCCACGCGCGTGACGCGCCACGCGCCGGCGAGGCCCGGACGGCGCCGCGAGGCGCCTGGCTGCGGCCCCGCTGGTCGCACAAGGAGCGGCGGGACAGCAGGGGCCGCACGCTCAAGGGCGCGGATTCGGGGGCGCCCCGCTGCTGTTGGAGTGCTTCGAGGGGATCCCATCCAATAGCAGGCCCCATTTGAGCAAGGCGGCACCGGGCGCGACCTGGTTGTGGCAGTGGTGGCGGATCAACCTGTTGGACCCGCGCCCATCGCGCGGCCCCCGTTGTTGCGGCGATCCTACAACTGCGCGTTGCTGTACCTTATGTTGCAGCGCGTCGGCCCTGCATCCCTGTGCACTCGCGGCATTGCGGGCAGCGTACGCTGCACTGCCAGCTGCGCGCTCACTCCTTCAAAAATCACCACTTCTTTGAGCTTTCCTCAATGCGGCGCGGCGTGCTCAGGTGTCACGTGCTGCGGGATCCCCGCCGTGTCTGCGCGCCGTGTGAACGCACTTCTTACAACACCATGAGGTTCGGCTCGCACCGCTGCATGCTGCAGGCAGACCGCCGCACCCCCGCCAGCCCCCGCCCGACGCACGACTTGGCGTTGCGTCGCGCGCGCGCGCGCCGCGAGCGAGGGCCGGCGCGGCCGCTCGTGGGAAGCGGCCGGTCAGGGCGCCGCCTCCTGCGCGATGAGGTGGTGCAGCAGGATGCCCGCCGCCACGCTGACGTTGAGCGACTCGACGGCCGCCTCCCCGCCGCTGCTGCTGCCGCTGCCGCGCCGCGCCTTGGGGCCGATGCCCATCTCTATGCGCACCATCTGGGTGCAGGCGCGCCGGACGTTGGTGCGGAGGCCGACGCCCTCGTTGCCTGCAGAAGGCGGCGCGGGGCGTCAGTTGCGCGGGGGGTTGTTTGCCTGCAACCACGCAGCGCATGAGGGTGCATGCGTGCCGCAGGAATGCGGCCACTGCGGGCTGCCGCGCGCCATGTATGTTCTCGCAGCGCGGGCCGGCGCACGTGGAGCGTGGCAGGCTGCGATGTAACTACCACCGCGAGCGACAGCGGCGGCGTGCGGCCGGCGCCCAGGGCCAGGGCAGTGCGAGTGCAGCAGGCGCCGCCCAGCAGCAGCGACCAGCGGCGCCACACCACACCAAGTGTCCATGTCGGCGCCCTCCCCTTCACCCGCGGCGCCTCACCCATCACGAGCACCGTCGGCCGGTTGACCCTGAACTGCGCGACCGGCGTCGCCGCCGCCTCGCCGGCCGCCCCCACGACCGCCCAGCCGCGCTCCGCCGCGTCGGCCAGCGTGCGGGGCAGGTTTTTCGAGTTGTGCAGCGTCATCACCTCCAGCGCGCCCGCAGACGCCTTGCTGACCGCGGCCGACAGCGGCGCGCAGTTCTTGGCGCTCGCGAGGACGCCGGTGGCGCCGAGGCAGTGCGCGGAGCGGAGCATGGCGCCCAGGTTTTGCTGCGGGGGAGAGGGGAGGGGACAGGGATGCGGCGGCGGGGGCTGCAGTGGGCTGGCTGCGGCGGCGTGAGGGCGCCGTGCAGAGATAAATGTGCATCCCAGGGTTGACTGGGTTGCTCACGCAAGCGCCTGTCCTCGAGATTGGATGCCATGCCAGGAGGCCCCGTGTGTGCCCTGCCTATCCCCAGTCCAGATCACCCAGATCACACCGCGGAGATCACACCCACCGGGTCCACGACCTCATCCAGCGCCAGCCACACAGGGTGCCGCCCCCGGCCCCCCGCCGCCGCCGCCTCGCCGCCGCCAGCAGCGCCACCCTCTGCATCTGCCCGGCCCGCCTCCTCCCCCTCCTCTGCCTCCCCTGCCCCCGCCGCTGCAGGCGCCGCGCCGGGCGCGTCCGGCAGGCGGTCGAGGGGGATCCAGTCCAGTGGGGAGCAGTCCAGCAGCAGGCCCTGGTGCGGCCTGTTGTCGGCCAGCATGTTGAGGTCGTGCTTCGACGCGCGGCGCACCGCCACGCCCGCGGCGCTCGCGAGCTCCTGGCACTCCTGGTCGCGAGGAGAGGGGGCGGCGCGTGGGCTGTCGGCCGGCGAGGAGGGTGGGCGGGCCCGCAAGGGGCGCATCGGGCCCCCATGCACAACCACACAACCACACACACACACACACAACCCCCCCCCCACACACACACACAATCACGCTGCAATCAGATGTGGAAGCCGCGGTGCCATGGCGGCGGACGCACGTAGTGAACCCCCAAAAAGCGGCCCCAAATCGAGGGCCGCCGCACCTCGAACGCTCGCCCGTCCTTGCGCGTCGAGGCGTCCGCCCCCTCCTGAATGTACAGCACGTGGGCGGTGCGCCGCTTGGCGCGCAGCGCGGCCAGGATGGGGGCGACGCCGTAGAGGACGACCCCAAAGAGCTCGTCCCGCAGGGCCGACTTGGAGGGGCGCGCGGGGTACCTGCAGCCAGAGGCGCCGGGCGTCGAGTGGCAGTGTGCGTCGGCGGCGTCGAGGGGCGGGGTGCTATACGATGTGCGACGCATGCACCGGGGCGGCGGCGTGTTCTTTTGAGGGTGAGCGGCGGAGCCTGGATCATGGACGTATTTTCAGCGGGGATAAAGGTTGCCGCTTGACATGCCCATTGCACACGCCCCCCTGCGCACGCGTAGAGGCGGCGTCGCAGCCATCCCAGCCTCTGCTTGCCCCCATAAGGCATGTACACGCCGTCCCCATGGCCGCCCCAGGGCGTACTGCCTGCCTCCCACTCACAGGTACGGCTCGTCCCCGTCGTCGCCCTCCTCATCGTACCGCCCCCCGCGGCCGCCCCCATAC